AGAATAAATTTAATGTTTTTTCATCTTTATTTCTGGGAAGGTTACCGAGCATTTGGGACAACTGAAACTGAACCATAACTATACCAAGTAACATTCTAGAGTCATTGAGAAGTACAGAGTTGTTCCCTAAATCCTTCACCTGAAGTGTACTTCGTAAGTGACGGTTGTCATAAATATTCAGACACACCACTACACCTTGAGCCTCTTATTGTATTTTTGCAATACAGCTGGTGTGGCAAAATAAGCATTTCTGGGAGTGTTCACTCCTAGAATACACTGAAAAACTGAACACAAGAAAAAATGTAAAAAATAAAAGTGTATGAATGCATTAAGTGCATCAAATAAAATATGTATTCAAATGTAGCTTAAACTACATGCACAGCTCCTTCTGTATTGCCTAAAAATATCTTATTCCCAAAATATAAGGAAGTTAAATTTTCTAAGTGTGATAAAGCTGTTCTTGAATACAGTTATAGTAGAAAAGCCCAATGCTTTGAGCCAGTGGTAATCTGAATGAACAGACACAGGGAAATGATTGTCAGTGTTTTGCTTTCCATACAACATTCAGTTCTTTAGTCAGCTATTCTTCAACACTGATTTGGAAACTTTGAGGAAAGCAACTTAGATTTGGTATTTTAAACTTGCGTTACAAACTTTGATATCTGTAGTTGACTAACAGAAAACTTTGTTTTGCTTTAAGCAGGTCTTTTATGCTTTCTTTTAACAAAATGACAAATTTGCTTCTTTTGTTTGATATGAATAGAAGTTTCACTGGATGAAAGGTTATTTAAACAAACACATCCCAAACATGTGCAGCACACAGCTGCCAAGAAGCCAGTAAGAAATGTATGTACTCACATGATCTTGGTACAACAGCTGGCTGTCTCCTCTGCTATTTATTATTGAAGTTCTCTGCAAACTTTGTTCCAAATACTTGATACTGCTGTGATTCAGGAAGAGAAGGAAATAAAACTAAATAAATTAATGAATTTGATCAAATAGCAAAGGGAGAAGTGGGAGGTAAAAGTCACTTCTAAATGACCTTACAGAAATGTGCACAAACTTTATTTGAATTCAGGGAGTTCTATGGATGCAAATGGCAATATGAATATATGGTAAATATATGTAAGAGTTATAATCCAGCTTTTCATTAGGAGCTGACTTGAGAAATGTGGCTTGCATTTCTGGAATACTAACTCTTCATGTTTAGCACTATAACTTAATATTTTTTTAAAATGCATCTGTTCTGGTGTTTGAGGACTGCTCAGCAGGAGGCTCTTGCACAACTGTGTTGTTTTTTTCTTTTATCAGATAGCTTTTTATTCTATCTGCTTTTTATATGCTATATGGAGCAGGCAACGTGATTCTCTGTGTTTAGGTCCCTTGCAACATAGGTGCAAAGTTGCAGTTTTTGCTTTAGACACAGCTGACATAATCTCTGCATTGTTACACCTCCTGTATGTGCACAGCATGATCTAGAAAGTGAGTTATAATGGAGACAATCCCACTGCAAGGCTGATAGAAAAGTAAAAGCTGTGCACAAAAGAACAGTATACACTACATACATTAGAGATGCATTGCATTTCTAGTTGTGTTCGCATGATTTCTAGGTGATGAGTTTTATTTGTACAGACTTTTCTTTAAAGAGTCTTTAAGATAGCTTAGAAGCAAAAATACTCCCAATTTAGGGCCAGGCTGAAAAAGAGATCACTATGTATGTCAGCAGCCAGCACTACTTGGTTCTGTTCTGTATTGTAGTGCTGAGAACAACCAGAATTGGATAGTTAGCTAGAGGGCAAATGGATAGATGCAAAATGTGCTGACTTAACACACACACACACACACACACCCATGGGAGGAGGGACTGGTGCCCAAAGACTATGAAGTTAAAAACAAAACTGAAGGACTCTTATTTTTTTTTTTTGTTGATTGTTAAAAGAGTTAAGAGTACACTCAGTAGCTGTGGATCTACAATCATAGTAGTCTATAGCATACACCACCAACTCCTTTGAGGTAAGGAGTATTAGGTACTGTATGTTTGCAGTTTTGTGATGTGCTAGGTCCAGCTGCACTGAAGTCTAGGTGCTACTGAAGAGTAAAGTTAAAATGTTAGCAATTTATGAACCTGATTGCATTTGCACCCAGATTAGGATTTTTTTTTCCTGACTTCTGGCACAACTTATGGACAGGCCTTCTCAGCTGTTTTACAAATGAATTGAATAGGGAACAATAGCTGCACTCCTCCCTTCTTGCCTTTAGTCTTCTTTTTCAAAAGAAGACTGATCTTGTTCACCCATCCACTGCATGTACAGTTGAGCACTTTGTTTACCATGCCCAGACAATTCTTATCAAAATCAGCCGTTGGTTCTTTGCCCTCTGCCAACCTCTCCCTTAACCCTGGCTTTACCTGCACGAGTAGTCGTGTAGGACTAGGGACAGATTGTGTTTAAATTGCTTAGATAAGAATCGGTTCAAGTGATGGCTGTTCCATGTCTGGCAAATTCTTAAGATGGGAGAGTGGTATATTGGCACACATACTGCTGCCAGAACAATCTCTTTGCAACTGCAGAACTACATGAGACCTCAGTAGGCTTTGAATATGTGCATGGTACTGAGATGATCACTTTTGAAGACAGATTCCATTTCAGCTCTGACTTTAATCAAAATTTCACATTCATACAGTTACATTTAATTAGTCTATTTGACTCCATCATCCAGATATTATTATAATCTATGGAGAAAAGATATTTGGAGGATATAAGTAATTGCAGAGTAGCTGTTCTATGTAGATCAGCTGACCTGTGCTCTTGAAGTCCCTATCTGAACTGACTGGAAGAGATTCTGATGGTAATCCCACATTGTATGTATTTATACTGGGTGATGGGAAACCATGCCATAAATCACTTGTCCTATTGCAGAATATAGAACCCAAGCATGCGTATAAATCTTACGATGTTACTTGGTAGCAGGGGAAGCATGGTATATTTAGGCTCCTACAATTTGGTTATTCAAACTCATGTTATAACTCCTGGGGAATCTGTCAATATTTATTCTGCTCAGATAACAGTAATTTTCTTTCTTAGATTTTCATTGTTAGTTGTTTTAAAGCAGTTACAGTGCTTCCAAGGTCTGTCTCTTCTACCACTGATACTCTTCTGATGAGTAAGCTACTCTGAGTGGATGGGGGAAGAATGAAACTGGGAGAAAATAAAGCATGGAAAACTATTCATAAAATGCATTAATTTAAAAAATCAATCTTAAGCACATAATATTTTTATTCATTTTCTAATAAGAAGTTTCTATGACAGATCAAACTACTGCTAGTTCAAAACCGTTATTGGCATTTCCACATAACAAGAGCTTCACAGGAAAAGAATGGAACAGGTTCAGAGTATCTGATGCACAGGAAGCTATCCCTGTCTTTATTTCAGGAAGTCATAGAATACCCTGACTATGAAGAGACCTGCAAAGATCACAGCCCGCCACCTGGCTCCAGGCAGCACTGTCCAAACTCCGAGCCCTATGTCAGAGAGCACTGTCCAAACATTCCTGCAACTCCAACAGCTCAGGGCTGTGCCCACTGCCCTGGGCAGCCCAATCCGGTGCCGGCCACCCTCTGATGCCAAACCTGTCCCCAGCCCTGACACAGCTCCGAGCCGTTCCCTCGGGCCCTGGGGTGGAGAGCAGAGCTCAGCGCTGCCCCTCTGCTTCTTGTGAGGAGCTGCAGCTGCCATCAGGCTTGTGAGAAATAGTTGCAAAAACTTTCCTGGAATCCAAAGTGATGATACCTTGGTAAACAAGGTGGGCGATCTTGTTGTAAAAGGAGATTAAATTTGTTGAGTCACTTCCAACTCTAATTTTGTGCCGAGAAGCACATAAAAAAGAATCCCCATTTCTAATGCTGTTACTGTGCACCTCAACACCTTATGCATACAAAGCCCCCCAAACAAGAATGAAGATGCGGTGACACGCAGGTCCTGTGGTACTTTGCATGCCTGGTAGAGCCAAATGCTTTCATGGCAATTCCTAACCACTGTTAGGAATTCAGTGTGGTGTACACAGTCAGGCCAAGAAGTTTTAAAAATACAGAACTATTGCTTCAGCCTTTGAAATTATGAGAACTACGCATATTCAACATATATAAACATCACAGATTTCAAAGCCAATTCTGTGCTATCTAAAAAAGAGTGACAGTAAGACAATGCAAAACAAGGTTTTATAAACAAAATACTTTTATTAGACTAGTACATGGGTTGTCTTGAATGCAGTTGGCATTATAATGTTGGTATAGTTCATTTAACCTAAAATCAACATTACTGAAGATTAACCTCAGGAGATATTTATCTGAGAAAATGTGATTAAAAGTAAATATAATTTCTTTTTCTCTCTTTTATTTAGTGTGTTCTGGTAGTATAATTTAAACTAGACAACTTACCTAATAGAGCATATCACTAAGCAAAGCCAGAACTTAACTGGAACTGAATACTGACAGTTTTATTCATCTATTTTCACTTTTGATTTGAAAATGATTCCACCATTACATTTGTTTTTCCATTTTCATTAATAGAACTATTTTTTACTTGGTTTTCTGTAACAGCTCCATCAAGGAAAACCACCTTGAGTATTTAGATATTCCAGATACCTAATCCAGTTCTTTGGGTAATTGCTTCTAAGAAGATGCCCGATGGATACCTTGTCTCTTTTCTTCTTGTTTTATTGCAGCATCATAATAGCATTGCCCTAACTGGAAGCTGGTATTCACATCCAGCCTGGTACAGCACTCACAATGGAAAAGTATATTTAGGTGTGACCTCTACAGACCACACTATCCCCTGAGTGTTCAGTTACAGCATTTTTTTTCATAGATCATAAATATAAGAAAATAACTGGCTAAAACCAAGTGCAAAACAAAGAACAGACTTACAAAACAAGAGACCTTTTAAACAACAAGCAGGCTCAGCATCCTATTTCAAAGCAAGATTTTGCAATCCTATTGCAAAAGCAAGAAAATACAAGCCTCAACTTACATTAAGAAATGGTAATCTGGTAAATAAATATCCTTCCAGCCGACAAACAGAACTGTGAATTACTTCTATTTATTATTTTACATCACAGCTGGGTCAGAAACCTCATTCTGACACAAGTTCTGTCAGCCTGATGCCATGCAAGCAGTGCAGTTAAATTGCTTCTACTCTGGGATGCTGTTGTAAACAAAGTTGTTTTCCTTCAGTACGGTCAAAGCAGATTACTTCAACTAAGTTATCTTTCCAGGGATCCATCTAACCTTTTGGATACACTTCCACTTTTAAGCAATATTCCTGGCGGGCTCAATGACCTTCGTTATTTTTCTCTTAGTCTTTCATTATAAGGAATGTCATTAGCAATGTTTTGGTCATAAGCTTTACACCAGTGACTGTTTTCATACTTTCAATGGCAAAACGAAATCTTAACTTAGGCTTCTTACTCCAGTAACAAAGGCATGTCCAGTCAGTCCCACTGGCTCATGTTACACGTGGCAATTCACTTGTGGCTTACGCCTGTTTCCTCATAGGTACAAGCAGAGCCTGCCTCTGTACTCAGTCATCCTAGCATCTTAAAGGTCTTGGCTAGATGACATTAAGAATGTGGATGGTTCCATCATTTTTAAGAATTAATTTGATGAAAGAGATTCAAGCTTGCATTAACGCGTCAATCTATTTCAACGTTGGAGAAACTTGGTTTCATGGAAATTAAACTTATTGCCAAGTAATTTAATGCAGATTAACACCCTCCTCTGAACAGAATCCATGACACTATGTGAAACTTTCTTAGTTGTATAGAAGAAATGTACCTTTGTTTACATGAATTTAAATTGATACATTTCTTATGTACATTCACCCAAAATTCTTATTTCTTTTGTATTAAGTATGTGAAGTACAGCAAATTTAAATTATTAAGATAATAATCTGGGAGAGAGAAATCTTGGTGTTTCAGAGGGTCATCTCTGTAACATCTAGTTTCAAATGTTCCACCAAATGCACATACACATTAAGAAATTGTACACAGCACTGTAATTGTACACATGACACCATTTTCCAAGTTTTCCACTTTCATGGAAAAGCGTCACGAAAGCCATTTACAAACAACTAACACCTTCTCCAGAATAAATCACATGAAACACAAGTGGAAAGGAGGGATTGTATAGCAGTGCTATTCAAACAGTCAAAAAAAAAAAGCACTGATGCTGCAGCTGAATCTGAGTGGTCATATTCCTGAGCAAGACCAAAAACAGTTTCTCCAGTGAGTCTGATCAAAATTCCATAATAAAATCAGACAGAACAGTAATATGAGCTGCCAAAGAAGTTACGGTACAGTAAGATGATCATTGAAAATATCCCTGTTGTATCAATTATGTTCCAACAAAAATCATCGTATGATTTACAAGCACACTGCTTATTTGCAGCACCAAGATGATATAAAGTAAAAACTTATCCATTGAGTTCCTCTGATAAATGGTCCCCCGTACAAATGCAAATCCGTGTGTACACTGAAGTACTTTTAGCAACAGGTACAGATTCCATAAAAGTCACTGCAAAGACTGAAAAAAATGCTACAACTTGAAAAGGGATCAGAGAAAATCACTTCCTACTGGTTTGCTACATAAGTTCTATCAATAAATTCTGATCTCAGGAATAGCAAAACTCACTTCAGTTTCTGAGATAAGCTGTAGATGGACTGTGAAGGTCTGCAAGTTGCGTAACACCTCACTTTCATGTTTTTAATGTGCTGCAGGCAAGGTTTGAACTGAACTTCTGCTGAACTTACAGGTCAGCAAGGCAAATAACTGCCACTGAATGATCAAAACATTCCAGTTTTCTTTTCCAGCATAGAAACAAGGGACTTCCATCAGAGACAAACACGTTTTAGCCAGTCTGTCAAAGTAATTTCCAGATACAGGCAGTTATTTTAAGCTAACTGCGCTTGCATCTTTTATATGAACCCAATACTCTGTTTTTACCCCGGTTCCACTGAAAACCTTGCTCTTGCCCACCCACTGCTTAAGAAAAACATGAAGTACACGAGTTGCAAACCCTAGGGTCAGATTTTTATCAGGAGCACAGCCAACAGCTCCCTGCCGCGCCGCAGCCCTCAGCGTGCCTCGGTGCCGCCCGCCGCACGGTCCGTCCCTAACTTCACCTTGTGCTCTATCTTCTGCAGCACCGCCGGCAGGTCGAGAACGGACGAAATGACGTAGTGAGGCACCGGCGAGGCATCGGCCGGGGCCGCCATCGACTTGTTTAACCAGACGGTCGCTCTCAGGCCGGCGTTCAGCCCTCCCTGGATGTCTGTGTCGAGAGAGTCCCCCACCATGACGCACTCGGCCGGCTGCACGCCCAGGAGGTCGCAGCAGTAGTGAAAGATGGACGGCGCGGGCTTCTCCTCCTTCTGCTCGCCTCCCACCACGATGGCGTCGAAGTAGGGCTGGCAGGCGCACGCCTCGATCTTCTCGCGCTGCGTCTGCCGGTCGCCGTTGGTGAGGAGCAGCAGGCGGACGGCCTTGCGCAGCTCGGTCAGCATGCCCCGCGTGTCCTCGGCCAGCGTCAGGTGCCGCAGCCGGGTGGCCTTCCACAAGAAGTAGCACTCCGCGGCCAGGCTGCGGTTGGCCTCGCCGCCGATGGTCTCCTGGATCGCCTCCTCCCAGTGCGAGATCCGCAGCTCGGTGATGCACGTCTTGGCGGGGTCGTGGCACTCCTTGAGGAGCTTCGCCTGCACCTTGTCGCAGATGCCGCGGGCGTCTCCCTCCCCGCAGTGGTGCTTGGAGCGGAGGGCGTTCACCACCTGCAACGCACAGAGCACAGCCCGTCCGGACACCGCCGCCCTGCCCCGCGCTGCCCGATCGCGGCCGCCCCCGCGTACCTCCTCGATGGCGCGGCGCCCGGCCGCCGCCGTATCCACCAGCGTGTTGTCCAGGTCGAAGAAGACAGCCTTGACGCCGTGCACCCCCATGGCGACGCCTCTCCGCCCCGCGCCCCGCGCCCGAGGCCCGCAGCCGGGAGCGCTCCGCCCGCCGCCGCAGCGCGCAAAGCCGTGCGTGGCACGGAGCGGCGGAAACCACCGAAGCCTGCGCCTGCGCCCGCCCAGGCGCTGGGCGGGGCCGCGGGGGGCAGGGAGTCCCGTAGGACGCGGGGTGGGGCTGCCAGCAAGGCGGGTCCTCTCACGTCTTTATTCTACTGCTAGTAAATAAACTTATCGAGTTACGTAACTCAGGCCAGGAATGGCTGTCAAAGGGGCTTTCGGTTCTCTCAGCGAAGGCGGCCGTAGGGTTACGTGCACCAACGCCGAGCCGCGCTGTCCGTGCCCCGAGGCGTAAGCCGGGGAGCGCTCGCTGAGCCGTAGCGCTGCAGGCAGGCAGGCAGCGAGCGGCCCGCCGCGGCAGGGCGCTGTGAGGGAGGCGCGGCCGCTCACCCGCGCTCCCCGTCCGCCTTTCGCTTTCGTTTCGTGCCGGCGCCGCACTGCTGTGAGAAACGGAAGCGGGGCTGCGTCCGCGTAGCGCTGCGCGGCTCTTGGCGGTGCGGGCCGGCGGAGACAGCGGAGGTAACAGCGGGCGGAGGGAGCCAGGCGGCCGTGGGAAGCGGGGCTCGGTCGGGGCGTACCTGGAGTTCCCGTTACAAAGTAACCGTCACTGATTTATCTGCTTTTTTTTCTGCAAGCGTTTGTTTTTCGCTTCCTGCTTCCGTCGTGCGCGTCACGGATCCTGACAGCCTCGTAGCCTGAGAGTGCGGGCTGGAGTGCCTCGGTTCTGCTCTGAAGGAAGCAGTTTTAATTCTTTATGGAGAAAAGTTGCTAATTTCTCTCAGCATCCCGAGTGATTCAGCCTCTTCTTTTCCAGGAATCGGCTGAGAAATTCTTCATCACTAAACTCGTCGTTCTGCTTTCTGAATCTCTAATCTCAGAAAGTTTAGAATACAGTTGCAAGCCAACTTACATGGAGACTTGAATGAGAAATCAGTTACTCCTTTGTGACCGTTCTCCTGGCACCATTTTGTCCTCTGTCACAGCAGTGCCCTGGCAGAACGCGGGCTGTCTCTGTAGCACTGTGTGAGGCTCAGGCACAGCCCTGAATATTTCTCTACAGAATCTTTTGGTACTCAGATATTGCATCGAGATGGACCGAGAGTGTATGAGCAAGATCAACAGCTACTGCCAGAGGAATAAGTGCAAGCTCGAGTACGCTGATGTGGACATGAAAGGCCCATCTCATGACCCTGAGTAAGTTCACCACGCACGCCAATGAACATCAGCAGTAGGTAAAACTGGGTGAAGACTGCAGTCAACAGAAGTTGATTTGCTGGAAGGGTGGCAGAGAGCTGCCTGCAAACACCGATGGGTGTGCAGGAAGTGTCATTGGGCACAAAGGGCCTGTGGGAAACTTACCTCAGAGCTAATGGTGCTTATTGGGAGCATCTGTTGCTGGCGGTTGTCTTGCATTGATGCTTTTTGTCACGAATCACCTCGTGAGGTGGGTGGATTGCAGCCAGCGGTTTATTTAAGTAATTTAAGTGCTGTGGTTTTTATAAAGTTTTACAAAGTAATTTGGCGACTTGTATTTCTAAGAGTAGAGGTTGGGTATACATTAATTCTTTGGTTACCAACATGTTTTTGTGTGACATTTTTGAACATCTGTTACAAGAGAAGGGTCTTAAATTGATTCACTTTTATCTGTGGAGACAAATGCAGAGGATAGAATACGTAGGGTTGTTTCTTGTTTGAAGACAAATGCACTGTCTGATGTCTGCTGTTCTTTCCCTTCCCACAGATCACAGATACCCAATGTCTATAATATTTCCTTCTTTTTCTTTGCTAGTTTGCATAAAGACAAATCTTATGCTCATAATCAGGATGTTTCTTTTAAGTGGTGGTCTCCTGTTGCCAGCCTGCACTCTGTGCTGTCTTATTCTCAGACCCTGAGCAAATTATTACCTGTCTCTCAAACCTTGATCTATCATCTTTTTTTCCCTCTCATGCAATTCATACTTCAAAAGGGATTGCATGGGACTAATAGAATGTGTGTACAAATTCAAATCCAATTTATTTCACTTTTACATTTTTTTTTTTTTTTTTGTACTCTTATATTAAAAATATAATTCAACCTGCTGCCTTGTATTTGTGGGTGATGTGAACTATGATAGTGTTATCTAGGAATATCCTGTATGGCTCCGGCTCTTCTGAGTAGAATGCAGTGTTGGGCTGCCATAATAAGCTGACCCTATCAGGTGCTTCTGACACTCATTCTCAACAGACAGAATCGGAGGAGCAAAAGTGAGGAAAAACTGGGGAGTTAAGAAAACTGAGGCAAACTGTATGTGCAAGCAAAGCAAAATAAGGAATTCGCTCACTGCTTCCAATCAGCAGGCAGATTATTAGTCATTCCCAAGAAAGTAGGTCTTCATCACACTATTGGCTGCTTGGACCCACTTCATCCTCCTGTCTTTCAACTTTTTGTGCTGAGTCATGTGGTATGAGCTGGGATAGCCTTTGGTCAGTTGGGGTCAGCTGTCCCCTCCCAACTCCTTGTGCACCCCAGCCTCCTTACCAGCAGGGTAGAGTGAGAAGCTGAAAAGGCTTTGATACACTGCAAACATTACTCAGCAAAAGCTACCTTGCCTTGTAACAATGGTGACCTCATGCATTCTTTAAGAATTTTGCTTTTAGAAACACTACTAGAACTAGTGTAGAACATGCAGTTGTGGTTAGGAAGATGTTTTTTAAAATCTTTACTATAAGGAACTATGATAACTAGGAGTCAGATATAACAAAAACACATGATATGGATCTGGGCAGGCATTTCTTCCTTGTTTGTTTCTTTTCCACCATGATAATCTTTCCAACTATAGCGCCTGTAAAGTAACATCTTAACTGCGCTACTCTTCCAGCTGTACAAGCAGGCACGCTTTTTTGTGCTCACTAAGTAGTGCCTGCAGGCACTACTGGAAGGTAAGCATAGTGTCATTTCTGAAGGCACGAAATCAAGTTTAGCTGATCTTTAGCATTCTCATACACATCTCAGCACCATAAAACTATGAATGCTCAGATACCCCCACAGCTAATTTAGTGCTTTGTACATATTAAAACTACATCTGAAGAAGTTTTAAAGTACATTTGAGACAAAACTTACCGATGTTACAGGGAAGTTTCCTTTATTGCAGGTTTACAGTTGTGGTTAGAATAGATGGTAAAGAGTATGGTGCTGGCACTGGTAAAAGTAAGAAGGATGCAAAAGCAGCAGCAGCAAAAAAAACGTGGGACATGATTGTACAAAAGGTGAGCGAGCTGTATGATTTATGTTTATTTTGCTAACAGTGGTTGAAAATGAATCTCTGGAAGTAGCAAAGAAGTTATCATTGTTTAATTTAGAAGAGATTCCAGTTACTTATGTTGGTTTTGTTTTGTCGTATTCACTGTTTTTCTACTTTTTATTTTACCACTTAATTGTGTTTATTATTCTACTATAGGGTAATATCAAGAGTACTCCTTTTTGTTTGTTTGCTTTTTGTTATAGAGAGATGAGGTAATTTATTTGTCTTTAAGCTGCCTTAGCATATCCAGAGTGGACAGCGTTCCTTTATTATCTTGGCAACTCTTCTGTATATAAAGTCCTTGGAACACATACAAGCTACTATTCAGTGTGTGTTGCCATTTTTCTCTTAAAATGGTTTACTTTCACTTGATCTGATTCATTCTTCTTGCCATTATGTTCTTTACAGTACAACTGGTTCTATATTGTCTTGATTTATTTACATTTGTAAATATGTAAATTTTTACGTGCACAGGAGCAGTTGCAGCCCCTGCAGCACCAGCAGCTTCCTGTTGGCACCCCTTTTCTTGGTTCTGGTCCTTACATTTTTATGAGACATTACACTGCTTGTTCCCCGCCTTTTGCTAAAAGAGGTGGCAGATACACTGTTAGGTTGTTACACACCCTGTTGAAATGCTTTGAAAACTTATGATTGTTCTGAAATTCAAAATGTAATGATTCTGGCTTGTGGTGACTGTCCTCTGTCATGCCCGAAGTTGCACAACAATACAAACTTGAAATTTCTTAAAAGTATTTTGAAACGCTGGCAAACCTTGCAGCTGTATTAGTTCTCATGTGCAGCTTATATTAAACTACTTACTAAGCTGAAGTTTTTAAGTTATCTATTCTATTTGCCTTATAGCAAGATAGTCCTTCGAGTGTGCATGCTCCAGATCTAGTGACATCTCCTCCATCTGCGGATGTGCTACCTCCATTTGACTACGTCAGCCTGCTAAATAAGTACTCACAAAAGACATTGCAGCTAGTTGACTACAACAACATAAACCGTTTTGGAGACGCCCATGCTCCAATGTAAGATGTACTTAGTGTTCTTTCTTGCTTTTAATACGACTTTGCATTTTCTAACTTGTCATTATGTAAAAGCAAAGATTGATGGGAGCAGGGGGATACCATTAGGAAGACTGATTTTAATGCAAGGGATGGTACAAAACAGTCTGAGGCTAATGGGATCGTCAGTGCTGCTCCAAGGAACGCTATGGGTTCAGAAGCGTATCTGAAATGCTTGTACACCAATGCATGCAGTATGAGGAATGAACAGGATGAACTGCAAGCTTTGGTCTTCTCCCAAAGCTGTGATCATCAAGACTCAGTGGGATAAGTGCTGTGACTGGATTGCTGGAACAGAGTGCTATTGGCTGTTCAGAAGGGCAGGGCATAAGAGGAGAGGCTAAGAGGACTGAGTCTGTTCAGCTAGGAGAAGAGTTGGACTGATACCCCATTTGGAGTAGTGTGTCCAGGCCTAAGGTCCCCAATACAAGAAAGATGTGGAGCTGTTGGAGCAGATCCAGAGGAGAGCCATGAGGATGATCAGGTATTAGGAGGAAACTTTTACTCAGAGGGCGTTAAGGCTCTGGCACAGCTGCCAAGAGAAGCTGTGCGTGCCTATCCCTGCAGGGGCTCAAGGTTGGGTTGGATGGGGCCCTGGGCAGCCTGA